ACTCAGGGACTGGAGCCCTCTCTGGGCTAAACTCGGGGACAGGAGCCCTCACTGGGCTAGACTCAGGGACAGGGACCCTTTCTGGGCTAAACTTGGAGACTGGAGCGAGCTCTGGGGCTGGAGGCGACCACCTTCTCCTCCTTAGATTCCCCTTTAGGTTCGGGGTGAAAGGCGTGGTCGGCGGGCTTGAGTGAGCTGCGGCCGGCGGGCTTGGGAATGTCGCGGCCGGCGGGCTTGACTGTGGAACGGCCGGCGGAGGGGTTCTGGATCGGAGGCTCTCCAGACACTGGATGACCGCCTCCTTCCAGTCGAGGTTGGTGGTGTCTGGGAGCTCCGTTGACTGATGGTAAGTGACCCCGAGCCGGAACAGCATCACGAGGGTCTCCCCATCGAGGGAGCTGGTGAGGGCGAGCGGCATGAACGCCCTCGCGTAGGTGAGCGGGTCGTGGCTCGCCTGAGCCATGGCAATGAACATCGCTCGTTCCTCCATGTTAGCGGGGAGAAACAAAATGGAAAACAAAAGACATATAAAACAAAAACACGTGAGAAGGGGCGCCACTTACTTTTCTGTTTTGGTCCGGAATTCTGTCATGCATGCCTACTGTGCTGGAGCGAGGAGACGTGGAGTCGTAGGAGATTCCAATAAACAGAACTTTAATGACCAGAATACCAGGAAAGCACACGTAGCACTGGGGTAAGACGAACAATTCCGGACAAGGGAAATTCAGAAACACAGGGTTTATATAATCAGAACGAAACAAGGAAATCAATGGGACACAGCTGGGATCAAATAAACACAATCAGGGCAGGAACAGGAAGACCTAATAAGGACATGGAAATACATGGGGAGCAGAACACACACAAAACACGGAACAGAGTCTGACATCTACAATGTGCACACAGAGAATCTGGAGTACTGTGAATTTGTTGATGTTGAATACAGAAGTCTCCTTTCTCACAGCAAGACGAGATGGCTGTCATTATTCCCAGATACTGAGAGGCTGTTACAGATGTTTCCAGCCTTGAAAGCATTATTTTTGTCACAGGAAAAAACACCCTCCTTGATCAAAAAGTTTTTTGAAGATGAGTTCAGTGAAATTTACCTCTGGCACATGCACTCAATCATTGAATGGCCTCATGTGGCCATGTTATAGCCACAGCCATATCACCCTGCAGCCCAAGACTGGTCGCCCACTGAAGCTAAGCAGGGTTGAGCCTGGTCAGTACCTGGATGGGAGACCTCCTGGGAAAACTAGGTTGCTGTTGGAAGAGGTGTTAGTGAGGCCAGCAGGGGGTGTTCACCCTGTGGTCTGTGTGGGTCCTAACGCCCCAGTATAGTGACGGGGACACTATACTGTAAAAAGCACCGGCTTTCGGATGAGATGTTAAACCGAGGTCCTGACTCTCTGTGGTCCAAGTGGATGCTGCACACTGGTGGTGGTTGAGGAGAGACCCCCCACATGATTGTAAAGTGCTTTGGGTGTACAAAAATACACAATAAAGCGCTATATAAATGCATCATTCATTCATTAATGTGTGTGTTTCCTTCACACATTCAGGAGATGGAAAGGGAGAACAATTCAATTGTGGACGTGAATAACAATTTGAACAAAGTCCACACCATACTTTTTAAACGCAAGACCAATAACGTCATGTCTCTTAAAGTGAAGGGACTATTGGCACAAAAGCACAAGGATGGACTTGGTAAGCGGTGTGACCATTTCAGTGCTCAAGTACAGGGTCTGTACAGTAGTTCATGCCTGGAGTATCTGGAGAAATGGATGGCACCATGGATGAGTTCTCCTCTTTCATGTGGATGGATCTGAGTGAACCACCTGACTGGAACAACATTGAAGCCTGTATCAAATACCTGGGAGAAAAGGGGGTGCCAATTGGTGATGTAAAAACTTTGATCAGGTCACCAACCTGAAGAAATTCACAGAAAGGTGTAACAGGGATGGAAATTTCAGTGATCTGCAAGCACACAAGAAGTGGACCAAATATTTTGAAAGGTCCAAAAGCACAGACTTTCTGAAGATTGCAGAGTTTTCTTTGCTATTCTTTCTCACAATGCTGTTGTTGCTGCAGTGTGTTTTGAGTTTGAGCTCTGTCAAGTTAATTCTTTATCGTCTATTTTTTTAATCTTAAAATCAATTTTATACATCATAATTTTCGTTTCGTGTGAATATATAACTTGTGACTATATCCTCTTTATATCCTCTATATCATCGTATTCTACAACAAAAACAATTAGAGCACCTTGTTATCACTAGTTTTATTTTGATTTCCCGAGTCCGCTATTAGCATATAGCCCATTAGCATCACCAGCGTGGTTGCCGCTAATCTCGCTTACATTTCTAATACTCTATTCACACATATTACCATTGTTGTACTCGCTGTTACTTGCTTTACTGGCAGATGTGTGTGTCTACCTTTGAGTGCAGGTGAGGACATGTTCAAGCTGCATTCGGTGCAGGTCGAGCTGGAGGCTGTGGAGAAGCTGATAGAGTGGAGAGCCGCGCTGGAAACATCCCGGGCTGACGCTCACAAGTCCGGGGTAAGTATACAGCACGCTGCTAACTCTCCCACCACCTCTACTCCGTGTGTTTCTCTGCACAGGCCCGGTGCACCAAGGACGCGATCCTCCCAGATGTCCTTCACTCCGGTGCTGGGACACCACGGACCCTGGGTACACCCGCAGTGGAAGACACGAGCCAGGCCCTGGGCGACAACCTCTCCCACTGCGGTCTTCGAGATCTCCACCCGGAACCGATTCGCTCCCCTCCGCAAGACAGAATGTGACACTGTGATCGTCGGAGACTCCATCGTCCGGCACGTCCGTGCTACGATAGCTGAAGGTAAAGTGCACACCCACTGTTTCCTTGGTGCTCGTTTTCTCGATGTTTCTGCGCAGATACCCGCGATCCTGAAGGGCGACGAGAGCCCCGGAGCGGTCATGCTTAACGCGGGAGTTAACAACACCAAGCTGCGACAGACAGAGACACTGAGTATAAACTATCAAATGCAATTAACTAATGATCTAATACAATTAAATATGAAGTGTCTCTGTGTGTTCTTTTATCTATTTGCACATCAAATGAAAACACCAACATCAAACAGACATATTTGCGATGTATGTGTGCCATCAGGGGTTGGATGCTTAGAAGTTAATTGCAACATTTTATTAAGTCTTTTTTTTGTCTCAATTCAAGTTTTTTCCTCACTCCCCACTGTTTTACTATAACCTTTCGATTTATATTATGCAATATCTCCACTGAGTTACTCATGAAATGTAGATGATAGGTGAAAAAACTGATCAGAGCAAACCTGACTTCCTGTGCTTGATGTGTTTGAACTTTTTCTCTCTTTGCTGTGTACTAGCATACAGTGCTGTCTGGGAGGAACCCGGGTTTCATATCAAGTGTTGTATTTGCAGTTACAACATGAGGATTTTGCAGCTTCATTTCTGTGAGTATTACAGCTTTGACACACTACTAGTTTATTGTCTACTGATAAACATGTATAAATGGTTGCTAAATATAGATAATTAAGGAAAATCAGCCAACAGGTGGCCAGCAAATAAACTGTGAATGTCATATGTCATATGAATGTGTGTGCAAAATTTTTTTTTTTTCTTTTTTACAGATAGTGTTTAAGGAGGTACTTTTAAATTAATGTGATTCTGTTAATTTTTTTTATTTTTTATCTTGTAGATCTACTCATATGGTGTCAAGCAGCAGAGACTTTAACAGATCATCTAACAGATTTGGGGCAAAATGTGACTATAACCTGTAATCTTGACCAAATTGAGGTGTACTGGTTTTTACTGAAACTACTTGGTTCTCCAGTTGTGATATTACGCTCCTTCTCGAACAATTTTCCTCATTACTACAACAAAGTATTTGAGCTCAAATATGCAGTGAACCCTAAACATAATCTGCTCATAAATAATGTCACCATTGATGATTTAGGAGTTTATTGCTGTATGAGTACAAATACTGATCCACAATTCATCAGCGCCACCAGACTGTACATCATTCGTAAGTGCACTATTGCTAATTAAGTCATTCAGTACAGCGATTATTTAGAGATTATTAACCGATTGTGACTTTATTCCTTCCTTACAGAACCAACTCCACTAACTGAGTGTCAGAATTATACAGAGGTGCAGTATATTCAGCAGAATCAGACATCTTGGCAGACTCTTACCCTCATATTTGGTCTGATAAATGCTGTTTTGGTCGTTGTTGTCATAGGTGAGTTTTCACAAGTGTAGAAAATGAAGCAACTCAATGCTCAATGTTAAAGTGACGTTTTCAAATTAGTAACCGAGGCTTGGGCTCAGCTGTTAAACTGAGATTTGAATCTGTGGCAGAGTAGTTCTACACAAAAGAGGGGTTTTAAAGACTATCCGTTATTGTCTCTTTTTTTTTATTTACACACTCGTGCTGTCGAACTGTTGTATAAACACAATATTACACTCGTAGCCGTGAGATATGGTTGTATATCAGCACGCTGTGATTACCTACGGCCGAATCACAGCCGTGCCGATATACAGCTATATTACACTGCTACTCATGTCGATATTGCTCATATATACACACATACACACACACACCATGGACACAAATTAAAAAAAATAGTTCTCATAACTTATTTGTGGCCATGTTGTACTAATTTGTTCCCTCATTTTAATTTATTTAAATCGTTGATATTGATTTTGACATTTGAATTTAACATTTAATTACATTTGTTTTGAAACATAAACTTTAAATGAACGTTAGATGATGGTAAATGTAACATAAATGTCAAAATAAAGAAATGAGCATGCACAATTAAACATAAAATATCAGCCAATAATAATAAAGTAAAAAATCTGTAATAGCAACCAATAACCGCTCTTAAGACAATTTGTAACTAATTTAAATTTGGGCAAAGTGGTGGCTAATTCGTATGAATTTGTACGATCTCATTCATGTGTTTTCATATTTTTTATTTTTTTAAAGAAATTAGTTTCCATACTGTACAAATCACATCATACAAATTTATACAAAATTGCCACTTTTGAGATAGTTATGTTTTCTCATGAGATTGAGTTGAAATCCGATATTATACAGATATATTGTGCATCCCCATTCAAAAATACAGTATCGTTGCTCCATCTCCAAGAGTTGTAATTGCATAAACATTTATTGTTTTATTGAATTCTCAGGACTGTTGAAGGTTTGTGCTTGTAGAAATAAAAGGCCTGGAGATCTTTCACAACAACTTCATAACACTGATCTACAGCTGACACAAGTTATTCAACAGCATCTCGATCCAAACCAATTACAGGTACATTATGTGAATCAATCAATCTATCTATCTATCTGTCTATCTATCTATCTATCTATCTATCTATCTATCTATCTATCTAAAACTCTTTTCCTCATTGCTCTTTCAGCATGCTGAGGAGGACTCTTCCATGTTGTGTACAACTATTCATCTTGGTCCAGTCAACAGCACTTATGTTGCTTTACAGCTGCCAAAATCATAAACAGAAGTGTACAGCCGAGCTCATACTGACTTCATAGCGTTTAAGAACAAACTGAAACTCTTGCGGTTGTCCAAGCGCACGTGTGGATGATGGATGTGCATTATAGTTTGGTTTGCTGCAGAAAAAGTGTTGCGTCTAGACAGGTGGTCTGCACTTTAACCCAGTGAAGAGTTTTCTCTTTGCATTTTCTGCTGCACTATAAATATAAACCTTTAGATTTATACTATGTAATATCTTCAGTCACTCACGTATGAAGTGCAGATGATTGGTAAAAAAGTGATGAGAGCAAACCTGACTTCCTGTGCTTGACGTGGTTGACATTTTGTGATGTTAACATCTGTGTATCAGTCTTCTCACCAAGTGTTTGATAAGTTATGATATAGTATGCATTATAGATCTTATAGCAAATGAAGGCCTTTCAGCTACTGCTAATGTTATTAAATTAAAGTGTTTATTAAATTAATACTTTCATAGCATCACATTTCTGCTGAAAGCTAAAAAAAGGTGTGATAATCTGCAGAAAGGACCATGTGGAGACACACAAATGTCTAGATCTAAGATAAGCAGAGTAACACTAGCTATATTCGCCTGAATGAGACAACTGAGAATATTTATAGTTTTTTCTAAACATACTTTAGGTAAGTTTTAAAACAGCCACACTGCTGTTATAACTGTAATTCAGCAACAAGTTCAACAGAGTAACAGATAACAGCTTTTCTGGCTTTGACACCCTGTGGCAGTGATGTACAAAAATAAGTGTTCCAGCAGCTGCGACAGTGTTCAGACATTAAAATTATTTTAACAGCTTTCTGTCAGAAACGCCTCTCATTTGTATGGCAATACTTTTACCAAAGACAAACAGAGCATGTCAAACTTACTTCCGCCGAGATTCTGAAGTGCATGAATTTAATAAATGCATCCTTTTACAATGTCTATACAGTACAGTAGACTGAAATATATCTGTGCAGGTAATGGTTTGAAGTGTAAAGAGTTTTAAACGAGTTTTATTCTTAATTGAGCTTATAACAGATAAATGAGTGACAGACCAAATAGCCAATCAAATCGCTGCACTGAGACTCGCTGCCATCGGTCATTTTATCCATCGAGCTTTGCAGAAATGTCAGGCACATTTCGGACAGTTTTATGGTAAATTCCTTAACTATGGCAAAAAGGTGTTGTTTTGGCACAAGTCTTTCAGATATTCAGAATGACTATAATGTAGTCTAGTTTCGTCTCAGAAATCAGATCGTAATCTCTAAAAATGCAAGTATATGATCAGACTTCTCATGCTTTATGACAGTGACTTTATGTTAAATTTCCATTATGTTTTCTCCATTAAATACAAAGACTGTATGAATAAAGTTTGCGTGTTTGAGCAGTTTTATTTGAAAACCAAGAGCATGCTGAATGGACTCCAGTGTGAATCTATGGTTTAAACAGCTCTTTGCTCTAAGTAATAAATAATGTGACATTAAGTTAACCTTATTTTCAGAAAAGCTGAAAGAAAAAAAAATAAAACTATCAAAAGTAGGTTCAAATAACATACAGTTACAAATTCCTGGGCATGCTGTAATGACCTCTCTTGGTCCCTATGTACATCCTCTATAGTGAAGAAGACATCAGCATCTCTGCAAGGCAGACAAATAATTCCAGTGAAGCAGCAGAGGAAATAAAAACCTCTGTGTCAACACTAGGGGTCAGTAGACTGTAATCACAGGAGGTGAGTCTGTAAAACACATTTAGTCAGTCAATGAGCCCTTTTCATTCATATAGCTATTTTTTAATGTTTTATATATATATATATATACACACACACACACATTTATACTATCATTTCATGCTAATTGTACATTAAGTAAGTTGTTTTACTGCTCTTATTGGTCTCCCAGCCTTGTCAGGCTGATCCTTTTCTGGTTTTAGAGTCGTTTTGGTTATTTCAGCAGGTCAACCTAGGAGACCAGTTTGAACCAGCAAAGACCAGCAACCCATCTTATAAGGCTAATAAGGATATTAAATACAACATAAATATGCAATATTTATTTATGTATTTATTTATCTGTTGATTACTTGAAATTAGCATAAGCTAGCAATTCATCAGTATTTCTGGATTAGCATAACTGTTAATAACCAGGGTTTATTTATTTATACATCTGCAATACTCTGACTCTGTCACAAGGAAACAAGCACATCTGCTTAGACCTTGACGTTGCTCAGATCAAATTACATTATTCAACACTGCACACTTTTGTGTTTGTTTTCAGACAATATCATGAGTACATCATTGATAGCTCCACCAGTCCAATTTAGTCAGTAATTATCCAGGCTACATTTTGGCTCTGATAGATAGATAGAGATTTGTGCAATATTTGAAAGTTATAAAAAAAAAAAGAATAACATTTATGATTATTAAAGTGGTTTATAAATTAGCCACAAGTGGAGGCAAGAAGATGATGAAACCACTTCCTGGTATGTCACATTTCCAGTGAAACCACTTTAAAATACAAAACGCGCGCACACACACACACAATAAAAAACAACAACTAAGACAACTCAGAATCAGACTTAATAATGAACCTTCATATGAAAACCCATGTCCACTGTTTCTTGTCAGAAATATAAAGGCTCTCTCACCAGCGTATTTCGTGAGTCAAACAGAAACCTGTTGTGGTCTGAGCTCTATTTGGGTCAGTGAAGCACAGAAGTCAACTAGATGAATGTGGTTTATTCTGGTGGATGAACAAATGGTATTGTTCCTGATAGTGTGTCTATTAATAGATGTGTGTGGTTGGTTAGTTTGTGAGTAAAGGATATTGTTGTGCTCTCGTCTGTAACGTTAGTTTATCAGTGTTTGTAAACGATCATGATGCAGTACTTTCTCACTTCGTCTGTCTTTGACACGGTAGAGCACTGGTCCAAGGCATTCTGCGACAACGAATGGCCCCTGCCATAGAGCTTGAAGTTTTGGACTGTACCCCTTTTTCCTGCTACTGACCCTCACTAAAAGAAGATCACCCGCTTGGTAGGACTTCTCTCTGGCTCGTAAGTCATAGACCTTTTTCTGGCGAATCTGAGCAGAGTGTAAGTTCTGACGCGCTACTTGATGAGCAAGCTGCAGGTTAGCTTGCAGTTCATGAACAAACTCAGGTGTTTCTCTAGCTTCCCTGGTAACTTCAGCTGTCCTTAGCCAGATGTCATGTGGTTGGAAAACTTCTCGCCCCAGCATCAGCTGATTTGGTGTGAAACCTGTTGCTGAATGCACAGTACTCCTGTACGCCGCAGTGAGTAGGGGAAGATGTTCATCCCAATTCCGTTGACTGTGATCCACGTAACACCGTATCATCTGCAATAACGTTCTATTGAATCTTTCCACTTGCCCATTTGAAGCTGGATGGTATGGTGTGGTCCGGGTCTTGGTGACTTGTAACAGGTGACAAACTTCATTGAACAGTGAGCTCTCAAAGTTCCATCCTTGGTCAGTGTGAATTTCAAGGGGAACACCAACCTCTTTGCTGGACGATCATGATGCAGTACTTTCTCACTTCGTCTGTCTTTGACACGGTAGAGCACTGGTCCAAGGCATTCTGCGACAACGAATGGCCCCTGCCATAGAGCTTGAAGTTTTGGACTGTACCCCTTTTTCCTGCTACTGACCCTCACTAAAACAAGATCACCCGCTTGGTAGGACTTCTCTCTGGCTCGTAAGTCATAGACCTTTTTCTGGCGAATCTGAGCAGAGTGTAAGTTCTGACGCGCTACTTGATGAGCAAGCTGCAGGTTAGCTTGCAGTTCATGAACAAACTCAGGTGTTTCTCTAGCTTCCCTGGTAACTTCAGCTGTCCTTAGCCAGATGTCATGTGGTTGGAAAACTTCTCGGCCCAGCATCAGCTGATTTGGTGTGAAACCTGTTGCTGAATGCACAGTACTCCTGTACGCCGCAGTGAGTAGGGGAAGATGTTCATCCCAATTCCGTTGACTGTGATCCACGTAACACCGTATCATCTGCAATAACGTTCTATTGAATCTTTCCACTTGCCCATTTGAAGCTGGATGGTATGGTGTGGTCCGGGTCTTGGTGACTTGTAACAGGTGACAAACTTCATTGAACAGTGAGCTCTCAAAGTTCCATCCTTGGTCAGTGTGAATTTCAAGGGGAACACCAACCTCTTTGCTGGTGTCTCTGCTCCTTGTTCGGGAATAGGGAATGCCTCTACCCAGCGGGTAAACTGGTCGATTATAACGAGAATGTAACGGTTGCCTGACTTAGATTCTGGAAATGGTCCTAGGACATCAAGGTGGAGTCGGTCCATTGGTGCTCCTGCCTGGTAGTTCTGGAGCTTGGCCCTTCCCATTGGACTGGTGATCTTACAGGAACTACACTGTGGGCACTTCTTGACAAAAAGGCGTACATCATTTCCCATATTGTACCAATGGTAATGACTGCGGAGGCGCATGAGTGTCTTTTCCTCCCCTGCATGACCTGCTTGTGCTGGATTATGACAGGCTTGGAGAACCTCATTTTTCAGGGAAGCATGAACAAGTAAGCGCAGAGGTGACATACCTCCAGTGGCATTGTCCCAATGGTAGTAGAGGATCCCATCTCTCATCTCCACTTGAGACCAACCGTTCTATTGAATCTTTCCACTTGCCCGTTTGAAGCTGGATGGTATGGTGTGGTCCGGGTCTTGGTGACTTGTAACAGGCGACAAACTTCGTTGAAATGTGAGCTCTCAAAGTTCCGTCCTTGGTCAGTGTGAATTTCAAGGGGAACTCCAAAGCGGGAAATAAAGTCAAACACCAACCTCTTTGCTGTTGTCTCAGCTCCTTGTTCGGGAATAGGGAATGCCTCTACCCAGCGGGTAAACTGGTCGATTATAACGAGAATGTAACGGTTGCCTGACTTAGATTCTGGAAATGGTCCTAGGACATCAAGGTGGAGTCGGTCCATTGGTGCTCCGGCCAGGTAGTTCTGGAGCTTGGCCCTTCCCATTGGACTGGTGATC